GATGTTTTTTTTAGTTTACTGACGTAAAACAACGTTTACTTCATTCCTAGATCTTAATAAATCATTTCCATTTACCTTCTTATTCATAATAATAATAATAATAACTTTTCAATTAACTATAAATAACTCATTAAAGATTTTGTGGTTTAATAACTAGCCAGTTGATACTGGTTTATTTTTTGGGTGGTTACAATAACTATGGTTTATTTATTATAAACTGAGCATTATTCATTCAAAAGGATATTCTTTTTAATGAACAACAAGTTCACATTATTATGTCATATATTCACAGCCTAGACTATGTTTTAGTAAAAACTGATTCAGAATAACACTGGAACGATTGTCTTGAAAGACATTTTACTGTTTCACAAAAACAATAAGTTGAGACTTTTAAGTGTAATACATCTATTCCCATAGAATTTTGATGTTCACTCTCAAAAAGTGAGTGTAAAAATGTAAAGCGATTTGATTTTTCCGACACTGCTGATAGATATTTTATATAATGAATAGAAATAATGATGTAAGTACATGATCACTGATAAAGCGATAAATCCTTTTTGTCGAAGGATAAGTAGGTTAAAATGATGAAGTTACTTATGTAATTAGAATGTTTTAAGTAAAAACATCAGATAAGAGTACTTAGAAAACAGTAGCAACAACAGTTCTATATAGTCACGATGAAGCTGGTCATTTCGTTGAGTACAGTGAATAACTTTATTTCAACAAGCAACAAGTCGCATAGAATGTTTGATTGACATTGAAAAAAACCTATTTTCTTCTGTCAGCCCTTTTAAATCAAAAGTAATGATTAGAATAATTTATTTCAGAAAAATGTCGGACTATTTTTATCTTTTTAGCAAAAGAGCTTAAAATGAGAACTGGTTGAACGGTGTTCTTAAAGGGGAATTTTGAAACCATAATCGTTTTTACATTATTCTCATTTCATCATCAATGCCATCTTCATACTTAAAAGTGTTTCAAGTTTTATAAGCAAATAATCAAATTTTCAACAGGTTGTAAGTTGAAGCTAACGTTTTGTAATCATTCATTTATCAACTACATTAGGCTTATTGTCTGATCAGCAACCTATAAATGCTGTAATATTTTCAAATGGATTTTTTATCTAATATTCATTTCCATTTCATTACTCTCAGTAATAGATGCTAGCTGGCAGTGGAATCCAGGATGTGTGTTTCTTCCTGTTTTGGACACGTCAGGTGGATGTATCAGCATCCCAGATTTGGTGTACACTCCAGAACTCAAACCCAGTAACGTTTGCTCCAAACGCCATCGCGTCATCCACTTAGCTACTAAGTCTTAATAGGCTCTAGCTTGTGTAATGTGGTAAAGTTTGAATTCATTTTGCATTGCTCGAATCTTCCTAATGATGCAATTGATCAGTCTGTTATTAATATGCGCATCATGTGCAGATTGACTCGACATTGCTCGAATATCAACTCTGAGACGCAGGTACGTCCAGCTGACGAGTTCCGAATGGGACGAAACGCGCTTTCTGGATACCACTGCTAGACACCATCCGCCTTTGCTTATGAATCAGTAACCGTTTTCATTCATGCTATCATTGGCAGTTCAAATAAAGTCAATAGTAATTAGCTTTATAATTCATAAAATCCATAATTAAATCTTGTAACTGTCAACTAATAAATGATACCTTAAATACTGTTGAACCGCTCGAAGTTTGGGATACTGCTATCTAAACTAAATGGTTACGTATATATGGTCAGGTTTATCATATGAAATAATGCTGAACAAGGAGTAATGTATATTTTAAATCTTTACAATACACAAATACATAATGTTTATAAGCATCTCATATACTCGTGAATTCTATCGAAGAATATAACACGTAGTAAATGTCTGTATCTATGCATCAAATGACATTGCATTAAAGTTTTGGATAGATATATTAAAGATAAACAATAAAGATCAAGTTTTGACAACTGAAAATCAGTTAAAAATCTTCCTTAAAACAATCTGGAGAAAAGTTAGTGAAGTATACTTCGTGAGAAAATATAACAGTAATCAATCGGATAAATAAAGATATTTATGATCTCAATCAAACAATTCAACAATCACCACAACCCATTACTGACAATTTCCATATAACCTAAAAAAAGATCTAAATAGCTACTTCTGTCATTTTGAATGAATAGTTGTCATCTGAAATCATACACAATGCAATTTATAGAGCTTTTTTTCAAAAATAACCCAAAGAAGCGATAAGATAAACGTTTAAACAATGAACCCATTTGTAAAGTATTGTATAATCTGTATGGGGTCTTTGAGTGAATCAATTGTAGTCTTACACATTAATGGGAAAACTCAATCAATACAAAAATGAATTAATTAGTAAAGTGAATGTCAGAAATAACTATATATGTATATATCAATGTATTCATTTGGATATTTATAATCGTAACGATTATTTTCATTTTTATTACTGTAATGACAAAATCTAATCTACAAACAAAACTTTAAAATGAAAAAAATGAAAAGTAACATTTTAATAAACTAGTTTGAGCAATAATGATACAATCGGTGAACAATTTTATAATTTACAAATTTTTATAACCATGACTACTATACTTAACCGAATATTTTGTTTTCAACTAATATTTCTGCCATCAATATCAGTAAATTTGACATTTTTTTGCAATGGTTATCAATAAGTCACGTTTTGTAACGACCAATGTGTTACAAGCTCTCTGTCTATTATAAAACAATCGCCAGACGCATTGTATTATATGTTCATTAAAAAAAAGAAATCGTAAATAACAATTATCAAAATAAATCTAACAGACTATAGAATTTTTCATAACTCACTAACTAGATCATATATATATATATATATATATATATATATATATATATATATATATATATATATATATATATATATATATATATACTAATTAACGTTTACCTGTCACAAGTTTTCCCTATTCATATGACACCATTAGCCGAAAAATATATTCACAATAAGTAGTTGACAGTATTTTTGCATTATCATTTACCATTGTCATTAATGAATTTCATAAAAAAATGAATAATCGGTTTTGAAAAAGATGTACGAAATTACTGACGTATTTCAACAACTTTTATCCCCGAATATGGTATTTATTCTTAGATTAAGAGACATTAACCTAGTAGTTATAACTAGTATTATCCTTTTCACAGCACAAAACAAACTGATTATTTCTCTTCTAAATAATGTTCTTACTATATGGTGTTTGTAGTATTCAGCGGTTGAGTCATCTTTTAAGCAGTCACGTAATAAAATGGTCAGTTATGGTATACAAGGTTGTCACAGAATATAGCGCAACAAATGGATGAGTTTCTAAAACTGTTTGTTTTTCTCATGATTTTTTCAAAAAGTGTTACTTAAAATTAATCCACAAACTATTCTGAAGCTTGAAGTAAGATAAATATTTCTGACTTGGTACACATTAGCATACAATAACTAACTGTAACTCGTAAAATATCATCGACTGAATCATACAAATTTCTACCTGCTCCTTTATAAAGACGAAGGTGATTTCTAACTTTTCACTATTCAACCAAAGCATAAGTACATCGCTTCACGTTTTTACTTCCCTTAATTTCCTCTAATAACCCTTGGTCTTATTTTAATCTTAGGAACTTTAAGCATATCCTTTGAATCCTTTGCTTACCATTTTTAGCTTATGAATAATCTAATGTTACCGTCAAGTAACTACCCATTTGCAAATAAGTCGAGTCTACTCGATGTTTTCCAAGTTAACTGAAACGTGACATCATCTTTGAAGAAACATATAATATTATTCATAGCAGAAAGCGAAACAGCGGTAAAATATAATATTCTATAAACATAGACTGTTATATCAATACATTGCTTATGGTTCGTCAACAAATATTCATAATTGATCAAGCAAATGTCCACTAGTTATTACTGTTATGGTGCTTTAAATGACGACGTTTGATTGAAAGATATTTTAGTCATAATCCATCGATCATGATACTCTTGTAGGATATGATAATCTATAAATCGAATCATCAGTTAAAGCGCGTGCCTTACTCAACATTTTTCAAATTGATCATTACAATGTTTAGATAATCCAGTAAAGCATGTGGTTCAGACACGTTGTACATTACAAAATCTTACATCATTCAATCGGAAAGAATCAGAGACCAAGTTACCAAATCAACCAATCTATCTAATCATACACACTTAACCTATTCAGGTTTAGAGTTTGAACATAGAAACCGAGCTATTCAACCGCATAACAATTAACGTATTTATTCATTTAGAATTATAAACACATGAATACAAACAAAAATGTTACCTGTACAATCACCTTTCACATAATTAACATAGCTTTCTTATGACTGGACTTATTTGTGACATCTCATCACATGAATACTCAAGAATAAGTTTAACATCATGCAGCACAATTTTAATATCCATAAATTTGTTTTACGCTCTAATATAATACGCTCATGAGTGACATTATTAATATAATTTTATATCTGAAAGCCTTCAATTCCAAATTAATTTGACATACATGTTCAATACTATTACTTTGTACTTGAGTTAACTTAAATTGTGTCAAAGAAGTTACTACGAACAAATCGATCTGATGTCTTTGATAATAAACAACACTCCTAATGGTATTTTGAAATAATTTCAATAAGTAGACAATAGTGAAATCCGTATGTGGTTTTGTTGAGGATTAATTAAAACAGATATCTACAATTAATTTAACTAGTAAGGAAATATTATATGTACGTTAATTGTTAGAGAATAATGATATAGAAGTAATCGATCTACTTGTAAGTAGTTAACCGTATAATCATCAAAATATTGCCACCCCTGTTGTTAGATTGATATGCCAACAATGATATGAAAAAAAACAAGTTTCGTTTCAAATAGAATCAGTGAAATTAATCAACTCAAAAATATAACATGTTTAAGAAAAATGCAAAAAGTAAACGTAACTTACCGAAATAAATTTTCTTACCACCCAACATTTGTTTAGTATTATTACTCAAAATATTGTCATTATTTTTGCTTATCCATAACCCGTTGATCAAATTAATTAATTCATGATTTCGGTTATATTTTTGATTATAACTTCCACTAGTAATACTTTCACTAAAAGTATGATGTAAAATATCTAATGAATAAATAAGCATAATCCAAATGACCAAAACGACTTCATGCTTGTACATTGTTATGGTTAATGTTTTTTTTTTGTTGCTAGTCTCTCAATTATATGCTTGAGATTTGAAATTCAGAACATGTAACATGGTGATAAACAAAAAGTAATGATAAAAGAAATCACTCAATAGTTGAGTATTTTAGTTATATACTATGTAAAAAGCGGAAATCTATGTTCAATGCGTGTAACTGAATAGAAAGATTGATATACATTATTTCTAACTAACATATTATTTGTTCAAATCATAATCAATATATAGTTACTCGGTTCAATTTCGAATTTTATGGGGAATATATCCTCAAGTTTTTTATTATGTATGGTGAAAGATAATAATATGAAATCGGGTAGAAAAAGAGTATAAATGAAAACTGATAAAATGAATGAATTTTGAATAGATAAAAAAAGAAATCCTATCGACCAATCAAATGCTTATTGTATTGTTAACAAAATCTTCAGACAAAAAATGTCCACAAATCCAACACAGAGATGTATATGAAAATGAACATACAGAAAAGACAGAAGTTTATAAGTTTATTATTATTATTATTATTGCCATTATTAGTACGAAAATGCGCGTTATTGAAACGAGATATTACATTTTTATGAACATCCCGTTCAGAAAACAAGTGTATTTCGGCTAGATCCATCAGATAATACATTAATAGTGAAAGATTGAATCTTTTTATAAGTAGATATTATTCAAAACACAAATGTATGAACCAAAAATATTCTTATATATATATATATATATATATATATATATATATCAAAATTAATAATCTAAAATTGATCAGGTCTGAGGTAAACACATTCTTCAGAATTATAGCATGTAAATGGAGTATTGTTTATGAAATAACATAAATTTGTTAATGTTGAGTTGACATGAATATGTTTGTAATAAATAAAATTCTAAGATTAATTGTTAGAATAAACATAAGTAACAGGAGGTGTGGTAGATAAAAAGAAACCTAAAGAAGGAAAGCACGTGAATTGGTTAGTATTCAAATTTTCTTAGTTTTATTCCTCTACAATATAAAAGAAGTTAGATCCAGATACTTCAATAAAGTATCAATGCCACGTGCTTCTCAGATACACTTACAGAAGAAGAAATAGTATGTATAATATACTAAAAGAAAATAGGTATCCTGATAAATTTATAAATAAACATTTATCCAAAAATAGTGCAAAAGAAAGTACTATGACCAAAATATCTCTATTTATACGTCTATAATTTAAAAATGACGTATTCAGTAAAGCATTAATGTTTAAGTTGTACAGAGTAATTCAAAGAACCATTAATAAAGAAAAGCAAAAACTATTCAGCATGACCGATGAATACTTCGAGATCAAGGGGTTAATTAGCTAGACTAGCCACTTTTTCTGCCTATGTATCAATTCAGCTGCTCTTGTGCAGCACGTTATATCGTCAGATGTTCGAGGATTTTTTATGTTCGTGTTTGCGAATACCTCCCAGTCTTATTTCGTAAAAGCATATTTAAAACTGTTAACAGATCGATTCTAGATCATTAAATACAAATAGGCCATACAGTAGATATGGAGTTATCATTTACAATAATATATCGTGTTAACATAAATCTGCCTGAAGCCGTCAAACCAAGAATTCTTCAAGTAGCTGAAGCAATAGCTTTTCAGATAAAAATAAGCCAGAGCTTTGCAGCCACAAGAAATATGTATAACCGCTTCTTTTAACTTAAACAACTTCTGAACTAATTAGTTAACAATCATTTTGTTTATATGGTGACATAACATAATTTATTTTCATACAACCTTTCTCTTCGCATTTTCATAGCTTAAACTTACTCGCACATGATGGTACTATGCCATTTGTAAACGTTTTGAGAAATTTATCTCCCACCCACCTCTATTTATTCAGCATCGATAATATTTTTCACTATTCCAGAAGTCCCAATAAACAAATATTAAAACTAAAAGTCATCATTTCTCAAAACATTTATCATGATGTCTTAAAATGACTATTATCATAAACGTGATTCCAGTAATATTTAATCTTTTAAATGGTGATGTTTGATATCCTTGAGCTATAAATACATTAGCTACCTACAATCAAAAACTAAATTTATGTCTTAATCTTTTCCCATCTTCGTTTTCTTTCACCTTCTCTAAATTATGAACTATATTGAATTATCATTGATCAAGGTGAATCTATGAGAAAGATTGGTTCATTGAAGAGTTGTTTTTTGATGAATTCATTTTCGAAGATGTACAACTGCAAATATATATGTATTTATTTTTCAGAATGATCAAAATTACAATAATTAAAGTAGTTGTGATAATAGACTTCTGTTAAACATGGAAACGGTGAGGTAGAATAAACAAAGATATTAAAAAGCATTTTAACCACGGAAATTGACAATAGTTTTGTTGTTAAGGGCTTAAATATTTATCATGAGCCATCGTCATCCTAAAGTACCCATTGAACGACCTATATACCTGGCTTCACATGAGCCATCCGTTCGCAATTATAATTTCCCTATTTAATTCAGTTATTTATTTACTCTGAATAAGTGGCTCACATAAAGTCAGGGAACGTGAGAAATACAACTTCTCTACTCATTAAGATGTAACAAAAATATAGTTATTATTAACAATTTATTGTTTTCATTTTCAGATATATGGCTCTGAATGTCAACCAATGTTACGTATAGTTCTCTTATTTATTGTATATCATGGAAATTGTTCAACATTTTGGTAAATAAGACGTCCACTAGTAACATAATATAATTCCATAGAAAAATTAGATAAACACACACTCTCAGTTTTGTTTAAGAATCACTATTACAGATTATTCGGTATATAGTGAATTGGTTTTACTTGTTCTCTGAAAACATTTGTAACGCATTTTAATTCCAAGCTTTGTGAATGTGATAAATTAAAGTTTGGATAACTTCTCAAAGCAATTGTTTAAAATTCGTCAAACAAGATGTGAATGAAACTATATCCTGAATACTAACTTAACGCAACTTATGATGGAGATTCATGGCTAGAATATTTAGTTTCTGAGGAAACATTGATCTGGTTACCGGACTTTATTGTCATCACCACCATTAAATCTTAATTTGAACAGAGTTTGCCAAAAACTTATTTTGATTTGATTACTTCAATCATCTATACACACGCAGCTTGTTAAATTATTTAGTCAATTTTGACAACATACTTTGTTTATGCATAATCATTCTGATTAACATATATCTATAACAATACAACGATGATTTACTCCATGCAGAATGTAGAAGGTAAACAAATTAATTACCAGTATGTTAATTTCCTATTTTTTTTACTACAAATTATATTTTTTTGTTTTTTATTTTCTCTTGAAAGTAAACACAATAACAATTTGTTTATATACATCATTCCTCTAAAAATTTGTCTCATAATTAAACAGTTTAAAGTATCAACAAAAGTCATCAACAACCTTCAGAACATTTCAATAATCAAATATATGAATATACAGAACAGAAACATAATTCAATTACAATTTTATCAAATCTTGTTTTGCATTTTGATGTAATTTAAAATTTGTCATTAGAAATGTCTTAATACAAATTAAACAATAAACAATTGAATTTATTAAAAAAAACATTAATTTGTATTATAGAATAATGAGAAGTTAAAAATCAGAATTGTTATATCTTTTCACTTTTTGTCCGAAATCCCCGTTACCAATTGTTATAACTTGTCAGTTGAATACTTACTTGTTATATCTGATCGTCGCTGATTGTTGTGTCGGAAAACACTTATCACTTATACTCGGAACGAGGGACCTCTGCAATTCCCACGACGCGAAGGTAAAAACACATAGAATGGTATAAGTGAAAATTTATTAACCCCAAATCATGATGATGATGACGATACAGACACACTTTAATTAATAATTAGAATAAAATTACATAATTAAAAATACTCAGTTATCACAAATCACATACTGAGCATAGTTCATATCAATGGAATACAAGAATATCGCATATTATACAGAACAAATTATCATACGAGAAAAGAAAACAAATACTACACTGAATGATCATCACATTACAATTGATTGATCACTGGGTGGTGACCAATGTCATGCGTGTCTAGTCCTTATTATTAGTGCAGATCGAATGCTATCGACCATGTTGCAATGTGGCCACCAGTCTAGGTGACTCGACACTGCGGGCACTATTGTGAGATTAGATGGTGATTGGAGGTAGTCGACAGGAAACCCTGGACGCGGGTTTCGTGCTACTTGGCACTCGTCAGCAAGGTGTACCTGTAATCTTCGAGGGAACTGGTGCTCCCTGGCGGATTCGATCCCGTGTCACCCAGCTTCACAGTCAGAGACGTTACCACTGAGCTATCCGGGCCGCGACCCACCTCCTGTAGGACTGAGATGTAATCACAATTGATTGATCACTGGGTGGTGACCAATGTCATGCTTGTCTAGACATCTCTGACTGTGAAGCTGGGTGACACGGGATCGAATCCGCCAGGGAGCACCAGTTCCCTCAAAGATTACAGGTACACCTTGCTGACGAGTGCCAAGTAGCACGAAACCCGGGTCCAGGGTTTCCTGTCGACTACCTCCAATCACCATCTGATCATCACATTGAATCAGAACGGAAGGAATGTTGAGTATGAATCATAACTAGTCAATCAATTGAATTTTGACCTTTCTTCTCGTCATTTCATGAATGTAGTCGTCAAAATTATACAGGATAGTGAAAAACAACTCACAGTCTTAGATGTAATTCAATAAGAAAATTGATTGTCTTCTTAAGGAAAGTGAATGCAACAAACGACACATGAAAACTATGGGAAATATATTTTTCAAAAAAAAATTAAAAAAGGCCAAGCTCATTTTTTTCAATGCAAAAGTGATACAGTTGAAGTCATGAGACAATTGAAGCCAGACCACCATGGAAAACCTGGAAACACTGGACGTCCGTTTCGTCCTAGTATGAGACTCCTCAGCGGTTCGCATCCCCGATCCAGCCCCCCCCCCGTGAGATCAAACCCAAGACCTGCCAGTCTCGCGCGTGACCGCTTAACCATTAGACCACTGAGCCGGGATCTAATGGTGTTAATGTCTAACCTCAACCAATCCACGAAGTTACGCGACCATCTTCCATTGTACTGAGGTAAACACCTGTTTCTATCCGACACGGATTAGCTCCACTGGTCACGGCTTCTCACTAGAAATCCGAAAATTTTCTCACGAAGCTAGTCACTAGTGAGC